CACCATGATTAAAGGCAATCTAGCAATACAGCATAATACACAGATTGAAAATTTTAGGAGTTGGAAGAACTCCCCATTTCTATTATAACCCCAGAAGATCAGTATTGAGAAGACTTTTGAAAAGCCACAACTACGAGATCGAATAATGGTCGGTATGTCATTGCGACTACCACTAAAACAAATTCACAATCTATGGAGGTCACTCTCCGCACCTCTGCCATACAGCAGTTTAAAAGTATGGAAACCTGCCTAAAAGGCGAGCTCAAACCAGAATACGATGGTATTGTCAGAATACATCATTGGACCACATGGAAAAGTAGCCCATGGGAAAAATCATCAATGGCAAACTACTCATTTCTCCGCCGCATCATCGAGTAGAAACCAGACAAAAACAACTAAAGCTAAGTTGTCTTTAATACTGAGATCCACTATCTCGGAAATTCCCTAAATGATATCTATTTACGGGTCACTCCAGACCAGATTTAATGCTCTTCATATTAAATTGGCGTATATTCAAATACATAGCAATTGGGACGTTGAAAATGTATCGACAAATAGTCGTACATAAAGACGACCAAGATTTTCAGCGAATAATTTTCGAAAATCTCCCAATAGTCCACTGTGCGCCTATAATTAAACAGTTACGCTGCTGTCAACTGTACTCCATTTGCCATTCGAGACACTCCACGAATTGCCAGAAAACACAATGTCGATTTCATCCTGGCAGCCAGTAGGTAAAAAACTCAAACGCATGTAGACGATATCCATGCAACTCACAGTCTTCCCGCAAACATACAAATCCTTATCGGTAATATCAACCCTCAAAACTGCAGTTTACTTTAAAAATACTTTCAAATCAACTGATAGTAAGCATATACCAAAGAAAATTTTTGTCGATATGTATGAAGAAGGTCGCACTGCAAATTCCTACTCCAGCGCTGTCTCCACCATGACCATCATGCAAAGCAATGTCGACCGACCTGCCTTGATATAGACATCTGCGCCCTAACAGTTACCCTCGGTATTCTGCACCTAATGTACAGATCCTTATCCTGCGATCTCTGCCCGCTTATTGAGTATAGGGGCCGCTCTGCCCACTTTTCCGCGTCGTTACGTCGCTCAGCACCTTTTGGCCATCGCGTGTGCAGCATGCTGGTCAGATTTCTACAGTCAGCCTGCTTATCAGCCGCTACTCAAATCTTGGCAGCCAATCGACAGTCAGACTTCGCTTTTAGCAGAGAAGTCACTCGCTTCCCACCGGGCCTTAGGCGTTCGCCGGGACACCGTATTCCCGCCATGAACTTGTAGCAGAGTTCACTCTGCTAGCTGCGGCGGTCCGCCTCGCACTTCCCCGCCCTGACCCAAGGTTGCCGTCGGCAGAACTCTTGCCCGACGCCCCTGCCTTACCGCCCTCCGTGACGGTACGATCACAGGCACCCCTGGTTACCTTTCTCACCCCATACCGGGGACGTTTTGTCCCCTCGGTGAAATGTCCCCAGGGACCGTCCACTACGCGAGCTCGCTTCGACCGCTTCCTCCTCGCTCTATTAGCCTTTTGTCTGTTTGCATTTGTTCTTGTTGGGTCCCACTCAGAGCTATCCGTCTCTCCGGAAAGGTGATCGCCTTTTATGGTCCCAAGGTTTCTCATTCGAAGGACAAGCGGTTGACGCACGCCCTTATGAGTGCAATGGCCAGAGCCGACCAGCGCAAGAAGAGTCATCTCAGCAAGCACACCACACCAGCAATGATGACGGGAGGACGTACTCGAACCTGCCATGGTTTTAACGGGACCGGGGCGACCTGGCATTAGCCTATCGGCCATTTCTGCGGGATGCACATCACCTGCATACTCAGGTGACAGAATACCAGGAACCGCCACGAGTTCAGGAATCCATCTAATTGTCAAGCAATGTCCAGGTCGAGGCAAAGGTCAGATCAGGAGTTCAAAAAGCCGTAAAGGCCGCAGGTCATTGGCGTTACCCAGGATACCACGCGAAGCGCAGACCTGCTCACCACTTAACTGTGTGGCAATAAATATTCACCACAGAAAATGTAAAGGTGCAATTAAACACCCAGGCCAAATAACGGATGCAGAAAATGCTTGATTCAGAAACTGAGGGCAATGTTTATAAATTTGTAATTACAATCTTCGTAAAATATTAGTTTATATTGCTGCTGATAAAACTGCTCACACAAATTTTATCAATAACGAGGTTATTATTAAGTTAGCGTTTGACTAAAAGTAGTTAATAAGTTCAAATGCCAGTATCGCTAATTTGAGCATTGCGTAACAGTGTTATAGCAAGTAATTTCAAATTACTTTTAAGAAAGAAATATATGTACCGTATTTTATACCCTTATACTGTTTTATACTATAAGATATTGCAACTTCAACAATAATTTATTTTAGGAGTCTATATTTATAAAACTAAATTTAGAACTATATAACAGTAAGTAATTTATTTATGTAAAGGTTAAATGTAAATATTATTGTGCATATTATAATCGCTACACATGCTGAATACAGGAACATACCGCAATATGCCTACCATATTTTATACTATAAAGATATTGCAACTTCAAAAATAAGTTATTTTAGGGAATCATATATTTAAAACTAAACTAAGATTATAATAATATAGTAATTTTGTATGTCAAAGTTTAAATAAACTAACTTACTTATATATCCAAACTTAATTGCTGATATATAAAACATAAATAAAATTGTGAATAAATAAATCTATTCTTAAATTAGAAAAACATCGGCACAGTAATATTTCTTGATAAAGTACAACGATAAATTTTGCTTTATTGTTTAAATGAATTATTGTCCTTGAATATGACAATGATAAGTTTGTTTTTGATTATATAATTCTTATTACTTATAATATCAAATTATTAGTTACAATAGTATTCTTCGATCTACTCATAGTTAAATTAATTTTCATGTCCATCAATAAGTTATGCTTAAAATATGTCCTATGTTACCTATATCAACATGGTATAATATCATATATTGTTAACTTTAAACATCAATTAATAACCAAATTTCAAATATTATAAACAATTATTTAGGCGTTTTCTGCTATACTGCATACACATCGCATAACTCCGACCACCACCATGTTGGTTTATTGTGAACGTACGCCTCAGAGTGGCTGAAACTATTGTGAATAGGACTTACGCTACTCCATATGCCATACTGGTTGCTGCTCCGACTGTAAGGACACCGATAATGACATAAGTCCCTCGTTTGTGCTTTTACACGGACTCAAAGAGTCTCATTTTCATATTTTCTTCACACGGTCAAAAGGTCCAGCAACTCGAGTTTAGTTTTCTGCATTGCTTTTCACAAAATTTTCGTATTAAATATTTGTGCGTTTCGACTACGCAACACTGCGTGCTGCGTATTGCATTTAATGTTGAGATGATGGTCACAATTTTCTTGCAATGAATTACTACATGAAATATGTAGAACAAACCATTATACAATGACTGACCCGCTAAATAGTTTCAAAAAATACTAAAGACGCGAATTCCCTAAAATCCACAAACAAGTTTGAATATCCGCTTAATATTTCCAAGTAAAATTTATAATAAAATTCCTAATCTTTAAGTATTAAAACTCATAATTTCTTTACTCCGTAAAATTCATAATTTCTTTGCTCTAACCTATATCTTAATTTCTCCTTATTTACAATTTTGAAAATATTTCTATTATTCTATGCATACATATTTGCAGCCACATACCAAAACATAGATAACAGAATTCAAATTTGCGATCGAAATCGTTGAAACCGAGCGCTCTTACAACCATTCAAAGGATTTGAAGGTAAAAAGGAATGCTGAAAAGGGTAGCAACAACTGTTACGAACAAAACAAAGCATTACTTGAACACAAATTAGCACAGTCATAAATCTTTCCTCGTCGTCCCTACTTACAATAAACTGGTGTGAGACTCTTTTGAGTCCCCGTGTAAAGCACACTTTGAACAGACGACAGTGTGAAAAGTATCGATGTATGGTTTCCTGATGACAAAGTTATCGACTACTTTTAATTGATGCCAGTTCACACGGACTCTTTATTATTCCAAACCGGTTTATTGATTGCAATGAAGACGAGGAAAGACGAAACCGATACCATTCTAATACTATTCGTATTAGTTCGCTATACATATTCAGCATTCCTTTTCATTTGAAATTATTTTCATAGTTTGCAATAGCGCTCGGTTTCAAATGAATGTATAGTATATGTTAACAAATTTAAATGTTGTTACCTAGTTTTTGTATGTTATATGCCTATAATAATGCGTAGATATGAAATATTTTGAAAATTTTGTAAGGAAAATTAAGTTGCTCAAGAAATATTTTATTACATTTTTAATAATGTTTAGTGGACGCTGAAACGACACAAAGAGGATTACCGATAATGACAAACAAAGAGTCCCAGTCATGAAGCGTAGTATTATTTATGCAAATTGAATAAATTAATATAAGAAAAGCTTCGCGTTTAAAATGTATACAAATTCTTTGTGGTGCAATGGTTAGGTATATAAATATAATTGGTTTCAATTATTGGTATGCCGTAAATTTATAACAAATAAAATTGATGAACATCAATTAATGATTTCTATCAATTGCCAAAGTTAATTGACTTTGAAAAAGTGTTGACATAAAAATAACTGATGAAATTTACAAAGGGCTGTCCTTGAAATTCGTTTAACCATTTGATGCGGAAATTTAATAATTCGATTTTATCAAATAATAATCTATTAATTTGGAATATTTGAATAATTGTTTAATGATTGTTCGTCCACATATGTTGAATCAAATAGTAAATATAAGTATGTGCCATTCATCACACCTACCTTAGGTATATAAATATTTGAGTTTGTCTACATAAAGAATAAGTCTTCTGTAATTTAATACAGTTGTTTGTATATTTAATGAAACAAAGGCTAACTTATTTGTTATTATCTATTAACTCTAAACATTTCTAAGGTAAACTTCTGTAAAATTATAAATTTCAGTCTTAATTTAGATAGAAAATCCTTTGCAATCTAGTTGTAATATATGCGGTTTTAAGTACTATCTAAATTAAATTTATATAAACATGGCGCTAAAATCATTTTCGTTTACCTGTGACACCGTTGCAAATGGTAAGTGCCTGCACAAGAGTGCTATTCAGTAAATATAAAATCACCGTTCAAAGGAGCCTGTTGCGCAAAACTTTGTTTGCCAACTATTATCAGGCTTCACCATACCAATTTGTAAGGATATAGACTAATTTCTAATAATAAGCCAACGGAAATACAACAAGAGGTATGAAAATAATACCAAAAAGTAGCGATAAAGTGAAAGATAATTGTTTTAATTCTCATCCGATAAACCTAGGATGCAGTTACTGGAAACAGCGACAACCAGCTCTGTCTGAACATAGCGATGATGTATACTTCTTAGAACGACGCAAGTAACACCCAAAATTCTGAACAATATTCTACTTACTGTGACGATGATGAAGAGGACTCCGAAGATGATAGATATATTTCAAACAACATTCGGATATAATATCAAAAATTAAATGGCAGCGTCGAAAATCTTATTAATGACATATCCCAGCAGAAAAATAGTAAAAATTATGTCAATAATAGTTATTTATATACATATTATGCATAAGTATTTTATACCAAATACA